GGCAGTTTTTTCTTTTCTTTTGAAACGCTCTCAAATGAGAATTGGAACCGTTTCGGACCTCTATAAAGCATTCGTCTTCACCGAGAATATTTCTTGAAGCGAAGCCTCTCTCCGGGAGATTAATCCGCCGGCGAATCAAATCCACGGTGAGTTCTTCATAACCCTAATTCCTCTTTCGATTCTTCATTTTGAGAATCTCAGATCTTAGGATTGGATCAATACTGGTCTTGTTGTTTATGCTCTTAGGGTGATGGATAGAATCAGCGAATCGCCGGAATCTTTGATTACTCAAATACTCTCTTACCTTCCGATCAAAGACTCGGTGAAGACGAGTGCTTTGTCAACTAGATGGAACAATCACTACCTTAACGTTTCTGTACTGGAACTAAAGTACAATGACTTCCCTTTTCAAGACCAAGATTCAACCTTCATCTCCTTCCTCGACAAAGTTCTCGACTTTAACCCTGAGGTACGTCTGCAAACGCTCAGACTAGAGTCCAGCAGTGAGGACATTGATGGGCTCAGAGATCGGATCGATTCAGCGATCATCCGCGGAATTCGACATCTAGATGTGAAGAGCAGTACTTACTATCTAGAGGAAGAGGGTCCCTATCCTTTTATTGATATCATGCCTATCAGTCTCTATACCTGCAACAGATTGGTTTCTTTAAAGCTCTCGCGTTCGGGTCTTCAGGATCCTGGTTTTGTTGTGTCTTTGCCTTGTCTCAAGCTCATGCATCTTCGGAAAATCCGATGGGTTGCTCCTATGACTCTTGAAAAGCTTCTCTCAGGATGTCCTGTTCTTGAAGAACTGAACTTGTTAAGGGATCTTGATCCTGAGTTTGAGGATTATAATGCGGTTTCTGTGGTTACGCGTGTGAGGTCTGCGAGTCTCAAGAGGTTTTATGTTCTGCGTAAGCGTGCTTCTTCTTATGGAATGATGAGACGACCCGAATACGTACTTGAGATTGATGCTCCAGGATTGGAGTTTATGAGTCTCAAAGAAGATCATTTCGATAGAGTTGTCGTAAAGAACCTAACTTCTTTGTTCACTGTTGACCTTGATATCAAATTTGTTTTCAAGCCTGGCATGGATTTTAAACCAGAGAACTTATCGAAGAGAAACGAAATCCGTGATCTTCTCACCGGGATAACAAGTGTAAGACATATGACCATCTCTCAGCGAACCTTGAAGGTACATTTTTCTATACATGATCAGTTCATGGACTTTGCATAATTGGAAACTCTTCACTTGTATCCTTTTTCATATCTCCATGTTGCATGCAGGTCCTTGATATCTACTCGAAAGTAGGGCCGATTCCCAAATTCAACAACTTATCTCGCTTACAAGCCGGTTTCCCGAGCTCCTCGTTACCGTTTCTGCCTGCCCTCCTTGAGAGTTGCCCGAATCTGAAACACCTAATCTTGGTAAACCTGTTGTGGTTGTAGCTTAATAACATTGTGGGTTTTGTGGATGTGTATGATTGAAAACTCAGCCTTTGCTTTTTGTGTCTTTGCAGAAGATTGTGTATCCAGAGGAGACTGAAGCATTCCAAGCCATAAATGTGCCTCGGTGTCTCGTATCGACTCTCGAGTGTGTAGAGATAGAAAGCTTTTTAGCTTGGAAGGAAGAGGAGTTGAAAATAGCTGAGTTACTTTCTTGAAAACTCATCAGTCCTCAAGAAACTCATTCTGAGATTTGCACATCTTACTTTTCCTCGACAAGGTTGCATTACTGATTCAGATATCTACGAGGAGCTTAATAAACTGAGAAAACGTTGTCGAGGATGTCGAATTATCATTGATCATGAAGCTTTATGAAGGCATGAGTGAGCTCATGAGAGCATTATCTTATGAAAATTGCATCTCTATAAACTTTTGTTCTTCATCTTAATTAGTTCTGGTTGGATTCCTTACTAATGACGTTGATACAAGTTGTTTAAAGTGAGTCTTACCACTGCGAATTTTGTTGCTTCTTTCTTGGTTGTATAGTAATCTTGCATTCTCTTAAAATCCGTAAAAGAAAATGTTGAACATTTTACTCCCTTGTAGCCCTTCTTCTTCGCAAGACATGAGCAGGTTCAGTTTTGGACTGAAATCATAGTTATCAATAAATGTTTGATTTGGATTAATTAGGTATGAAAAAACTAGGGTTTGAACTAGAAGAATTGTTCCTATCATACAAACTGTCGTTAAACTGTGTCACAATTTCTCTAACTTCGGATTCAAAGAGCCTTTTTTGGTTTTATAAAGAATTTAAAGTGAAAGGCAACCATAAGGATGCGGCTGATATGATGTAC